GTAAAGCGTGTTTTGTCTATACCATTTCGAAGCAGTAAGCACATCATCGTAAAATGTATCATCACCAACATACAGCAAATGGTTTCAGACAGACCTGGATGGTCATCAAGAAAGAAGATGGAAAAAGTATCCATCGTGCGCATATGGCGACCCGGTTCACACAATACAGGTTCCTGTAATGCATCCTCTGTGTTAACCAACCATTTTCAGAAGCGTAGCAAAAACGAATCTAGGATCTCAGAGTCTCTTATTTATACTACCTTTAACAATGGAGCTCGGGCGTCTCCATTTGCAGTTAATCCGACCTAGAATAAGATGGAACACTGTGGACTAATGTGTGTTTAGCGACGACTTGGCTTCATTTTCAATACAGATAATCATTGTGTATTAATGAGAAAGTCTTCCGGAGGACGGCACACAATTGTCGCTGTCGCGTAACAATACTTGTTTACTTCCTTGCTTGAATTATGATCTGGGTAGCCGTAACGTAAAATTGTCGTTTCTTTCCAAAGTTACACATCGATGTATAGATATATCGATCAGCGATATATGGATGAAAGTTTACGTGGATATATAACCACTGATAGGAAAAATTTCAGGTGAGGTATTCCAGCAGAATAATGTCCAAGAATGTACGAGCTTTATTATACAAAGAAGAATGCATTCAAATTGTAGCATAAAAGTAGTGGGAGAGTGAAAAGTGGAAACCAAACATAATCAGCCAAAGTTTTCCATAGCGCTACTAAAAAAATAAAATAGCCTATATAACTTGTGGAAACAGTTTTGAGAGAATAAGGGTAAATAAATCTTTCATTAATGTGAGATCATCTATTGTTTATAGCCGTGCAGTTTATGGCTTGAAAAATGAAGAAAATTAGATGGGTAACAGAATTAGAGATTATTTGTACGCATCTATAAATGTGGGCATTAAAACAAATCTTACGATCCACAAAAAAAAAAAAAAAAAAAAAAAAAAAAAACTCTTTAGATAGATTTTTTTCTCTGGTTCTAGAAAAACCTCTGTTTTACATCTAGAAAGGGTTAACATACGAAATGGCGTAGCGATAACAAAATTAAATAGTTTCTCACATATAGGAGTTTCTTCATGGCTTTCCAGTTGATTTGGAGAATGCTTTTAAACTAATATGTATGTGAATAGAGCAAGAGACAAGAGAAATTCTAAACGATGCATCATGAAGGTAAAAATTTGAAAGTGACGGAATTGAGAATTCGTAGAATGAGGACAAATGGTTGCATAGATCTGCATAATCTCTCTTAGTGGCTGCTTAAATGCTGTGAGATATGTGGACAAGATCTAATAAGATACATACGTGAAACGTGTTAAAGGAGCTGAAAATGATGAACTCCTCATAACAGACGATAACATTTGAACTTATCGAGCAACATGATACTCGCCTTTGAATATTTGTGAAACGGATATCTAAAGAAGAAAAGCTTTCCCTATTTCTCCAAGTTAAATCAGATTTAATATATCTGGGACGCATTAAGTCGCAAGGTTCCGGAATTCTGCTATGTTCCGAGGACATTCCAGGAGCTAGACTTTAACAAATATTCTCATGATACAGGGAATGTTAAAACTTCTATAAACAGCATGATCGACATTCCAGTCTTTTTTAATCTTTGCTTTGAGGTAGTACATTTTTTCTACGCTTAGGTATTTAAATATTTCCCTTTCCTTTCATTACATTCATTCTTTTGAAATATAATTTATTCCAAACTATTTCATATACTTTTATATATCATATATTGCAAAAATGTAAAGGTTGCGAGTAAATTTTGGGCTTCTGTTTGGAAAACAATTGAAATTATGTGTTTTATTAGTACTATTCTTTAATTTTCTTCGCAGAGTTTATGAAACCTTAGTTCAATTTTTTGGAAATCTGTTTTAACGTACATTCAGATGCTGAGATGTTATTGTCTGTTAGTAAAACTGCTAGTTGAACTTCCGAATTTTCATATCTAAGTTAAGAAATGTATTTATTTTTACACATCGTCAGAATTCTAACAGTAATAATAACAATAATACTCAGTAATAATAACAATTATTAACAGTAATAATAACAATATATCTTTGTAATAATAATCTATATAATAATAATCCAGGATTATAGTAATAATCCATATATCGTAAAACGAATCTTATCTTATCTTATCTATGAGCACGTATTCTTAAAGAAGAATTTCCAAGGTTACGTTCATAAAAAAAGGTTGAAATCTGGAAATCTGCATGTAACACTTAAGAATGCTTCTGACAATATTTGAGGAAACATCTGAATAAAGAAAATTTATAATAGCCAAAAGTTTAGTAAGTCACAAAGAAATGATTTAAAATAACCATTTTATCTTCTATAACAAAGTTTTGGAAAGAAATATTATTTTTCAAAACAAAGCCAATTTCAAACTCCAATACTTTCTATTTTTCCGATAAATTCTACTCTCAGACTATTTGAAATCGTAAATGCTGAGTAAACCGTTATAGTAGGTTAATTGGTCTAGTTAGTTATTTGGAAAGGAATGATTTATTGATTTTGAACGCGTCATAACGTGATCGAAGATTAAGTTTAACATAAATGCTATTCTTTACATCTTCCACACAGCATTATTTATTAACTCTAGAGGTTTTAGAGTTACATGTATCGATATAACATCAATTTCACTAGTAAAAAAATTTCGAATTTCTATCTGCGACATGCCCGAGAACTAGTCGTTATAACTAAATTGATCCTCTTGAATGTAACAAGAACATTAAAAATTCGCAACAGGTAAAGGTTTCAGTGATGGAAGACTGGCAAAATATGCAAATATTAATTTTTTAACATATAATTCTAGTTATAGGCTATTCTTTCAAATCTCTTGTATGCTCTTTGTTTTGAGGTCGCTGGTTAGACTGTATACTAAAGACAACTTTACAATAACAGCAACCAATTTTATTTTGTGGACTGTAACATAACTAAAAATCTAAATCTAAAATGCTGAATTCCCAACCATACGGGATTAAAACAAACATGTATGCTACGCTAGGAATTCGAATCTTAACTAACTGAAATTGCGCAGAAACAAGGCGCTGTACAAAACTTTGAAGTTGCGCAGAAACAATGCGCTGTACATAACTTTTATTGCCGCGTAGGAGGCAACATACCGCCCCACGTTGCAGTATCAATCATATGCAAACTAAATCTGAGCATACAATTCAATATCAAATGCTAACAATACAGCTATTAATTTTTTTAAGCATTAACAAAAGACTTAAAGTTAGTAAATCATTTACAGAATGAAATAAACAATTCAAAAAATTCCATAAAGTTTGAATATTTGCAATTTTTTTCAATAATTATAATAAGTATATCAAAATTTCAAACAGAAAAAAAAAAAAAAAAAAAAAAAAAAAAAAAAAAAAATCACATTTTTTCATTAAAATTACCAAAATATAAGTATAATAAAGAACAATGTATATTTTTATTAACAATAAAACTTGATCCTTGAAGTTATCCTCAATAGGCAATAAACAAATTTTGGATATTGGCCTTTTAATTGGACCAAACTTTGTGTTAATGACTGCTACTCGTATCTTACCATCTTTACCAGGAATTTTCTGATCAATTCTTCCTAGTAACCATTTAAATGGAGGTAACTGATCATCTTTAATAATAACTATTGTATTTTTCTTTTATTGTCCTTTGAAAAATACCATTCCTTTCGTTGTTGCAAGTGATTAAGATAGTCAGTTATCCATCGTTCCATATAATCTGTATCATTTTAGTTAATTTCTACCATCTTGACAATCTGCTTTCTGACAAATCTACAATTTGAGGTTCTACAATTGAGTTTATGGGTCTACCTATTAAAACGTGACCTGGCGTCAAGGGTTCGTAATCTGAAGGTTCAGACGATAAAGGAGAAAGATGTCTCGAATTTAATATTCCTTCAATTTGATCAATTACGGTTAAAAATTCTTCATAGGTTAGTTTTAGCGTCGGAAATAGTTCTTTTAAGATGGAATTTAAAAAACTTGATTCCGGCCTCCCAAATTCCCCCAAAATTGGGAGCACGAGGAGGAATGAATTTCCAAGAGATATTTTCAGATGCAAATACTTACCCAAAACTTCATCAGGGACAGTAACTAAAGAAGCAAGTTTCTTTAACTCTTTGTGAGCTCCTACAAAATTAGTTGCATTGTCACTAAACAGACATGAGCTTTTACCTCTACGCGAGGAAAATCCTTTTAAACATGCTATAAAGGCTTCAGATGTTAAATCAAATACTATTTCTAAATGAATCGCTTTTGTAACTAAGCAAACAAAGATTGCTATATAAACTTTATCTAAACTACCTTTCTTTTGATTTCTATATTTGATTAAGAAAGGGCCTGCAAAATCTATCCCTGTGTTATGAAAGGTTAGATTTGGATTTACACGTTCAGGAGGTAAACTGGCCATTAATTGGTCTGAAATGATAGGTTTATGACGAAAAAAAATTACACATTCGTGAACTGTTTTTCTAGCTAAGTCTTTGCCACCAATGGGCCAAAACCTTTCCCTAACAAAATGTAACAATGCTTGAGGGCCAGCATGAAAATTTTTCAAATGATAATGAATAAATATTAGCTTGGTAAGCTTATTTTTTGGAAATAAAATTCGATGTTTAGAATCATAATTAATTGTGTCATGAATTAAGCGACCGCCCACACGTAATATATCTTTTCCATCTAAAAATGGATTTAAAGTTTTTACCTGACTTTTGATTACTCTCTGATCTTGAAGTGATTTAATCTCCTCTGCAGATTCTATTACCTGAACCATTTTTATCAAGTGCATTTCCGCATCTTGAAATTCATGCTACTTAATGGGCCTGTTTTCTTCACTAGACCTTTCAGCTTGGACAGAAACCTGAAAATAAGACTTAAAATTCGAATTAGTTTAACATAATTATTTGTTAATTCAAAAAAGGTATTCCAAAACAAGTTTAAATTGCAATTCAAATTAATGACTAAAGGTTTTCTTAAGTTCATCCTGATAAGCAGGAAAATCTATGAAAGTCTTGTCAAATTCAAAAAAAGAAGCATCTCTAAGTTCTCTCTGTTCAGGACCATTCCACCACAAAGAAGATGTCACAAGTTCATGAGGATAAGTACCACGAGAAATCAGCTCTGTTGGATTATTTGCTGATGATACCTGCTTCCAGTGTCGCGGCTCTACTAGTCTTTGGATTTTGGAGACTCTATTTGCAACAAAGGTCTTCAAAAGATGAGGAGAAGTCTTCAAGCATGATAGTGCTATCTTTGAATCAGTGCACAGAATGATGTCATCTAAATGCATCTTCAATGAGTTGCTAACTTTTGAAATCAGATGAGCCAATAACAAGCATGCACAAAGTTCCAATCTTGGAATAGATAGGGTTTTCAATGGAGCCACACGAGATTTGCTGGATAGTAGATGAGATGACGAGCCGTGATCTTCATCGACACAAATCAAGTAGACAACTGGCAGCGGCTTCCGAAGCATTGCATATTTAATGAGTGAAATTGCTTGGATGATTGGAGAGGATGCAACGATTAATTTTTGTTTTCAACAATCTTTAAATTTGAAACTATTTTTTGCCATTCGTGAGCAATAGTTGCAAAAAGTGGTTCATCCCAACTCAGTTTTGGAACCCATAATTTCTGTAAAAATATCTTGGCTTTGGTGGTTACGGGGCCAATCAATCCTAAAGGATCATAAAGTCTGGCAATTGTCAATAAAATGTCTCTTTTGGTACATGATAATTTCTCCTTGATTGAGACTTTAAAGTTGAATTCATCCTCCTGAGAATTTCATGTAATACCTAAAGCTTTAACCACATTATCACTTTTGGAAAAGAATGAAAGCTCAGAGCATGTAGAAGAGCTATCCAACAATTCAGGAGAATTAGAGTTCCATTTGTGCAAAGTCATTCCACAACTACGAAAAAGCTGTATAAACTGATTTTTCAATTCCTTTGCTGAGTCTAAGTTTGATGAACCAGAGATGATATAATCAACATAACAGTCTGACAAGACAGCTTTGGCAGCTTCAGGATATTTATGCATTTCGTCATATGCAATCTGCTTTATGCATCTAAAGGCTAAAAGTGGAGCACTTTTAGTACCATAAGTCACCGTTTTGAGTCTGTATGTCACAGGTGAGTCGCTAAGGTTTCTCTTCCATAAGATTCGAAGTAAGTCTCTTTGGGATTCATCAACTAAAATTTGCCGGTACATTTTTTTGTATATCCACAATAACTGCAATTTGATGTTTTCTAAATCTCACAAGAATATCAAAAGTATCTTCTTGGACTGCTCCCGCTAAAAGTAAATCATTCAAACTTAAGCCATTTGAGCTTGGGGCACTAGCATTAAACACAACTCTTAATTTTGTACTTGATTTCTCTGGTCTATATACTCCATGATGGGGGGAGGTAATATTCAAGTTCCGGTTTTGAATTATCATCGACCCTTTCCATATGGTCCAAATTTCATATTTCATATGAAATCTGTTATGAAACTTGAAATGTGTTGCAATGTAGCGTTTTTGCTAAGACGTTTAACTAATTGATTGAGTAATTAAGACACAATAACACGTCGAATAAATACTAATTCAGAAGTCCAAGATAGGAAATAATGATTAGATAAGATAAGAAAGCCTGGACAAGCATAAGCAAGTGGCGCCATCTGTTGGTGAAACCAGAACTACAACATAATTTCTTTAAAGGCCGAAGGCAAATTTGGATCAATCCAAATCAGACTAGTCCTGTGAAATTGTCTATTAATAAAAATGTTGAGTTTCTTTAATTTATTTGAACAGTTAATTTTATGTTTCTGACCTTTGCTGTAAATTCTCCCTTTCCGTTTTCCCACCAGAATGTAATTTATGTCGCTTGTATTTATGGTTAGGGTTTTGAGATTATAAGACCGAGCATGTTTTGGCCCTTTTGGCCAAGCTACTAGGTTTCTATTATAGATAAGTTTTCTTTTCTTTCAGCCTTGAACTGCAGTTGTTGATAGTTGAAATTCCCGCCGATGAAGATCGAAGCCAACTTCCAGTTAAATTGATTGAGTAGCCTTCGGTTACTGGTTTATTTAATTTTAAGTTTTATATTTTAGAGCTACTGCATTTAAGTTTTCGCCATAAATGCTGGCGGAATTGTAAGCACCAGGAGTGCCTTCTGTTTATCTTATTTAGTTTTAAATAAAGAGTTTTACACCCTTCCTGAGTTTCAGTGGTTATTTTAGATTTAGAGACAATTCGCTGCCAGTCTGCCCGAAGTTCAAAACAGTAAAGGACTTTTTAATACCATTGCAACTGCCCTCGAACTCCCGCCAGCTTTTTAAAATTATTTACATTGGTTGCCTTGAAGTACTTCAGTAAAAAGAAAGAAATTCTCCTGGTGATAACCATATCTGGTTTTCGCAAATAGGAAAAACGAATAGCATGATCCCTATTAGAATGTATTCTCGAACAGGCTGATTGTCTTCTAAGAGTTTTTTACTTCAAAACTAAACTGATAAAATAAAACATATGTGGACAATTAACGGATTTCAAAATTGTGTTAAGGATCGACCACGAACAGCTGTGGACATTGTCTTACGCGTTCCCGATCTAATCTCTCTTTGCCCTTTTGGGCACATTGCTAAAAAAAGCGCATGTGCTAAAAAAAGTGCGTCGAATCCCTTTTCCGATCAATCCAATGCAAAGAAAGTTTAAGGAAACAAAGTAAGCATCATGAGAAGGTTCTTCCGTACGGAAAAAAGCCCTTTTCGTTAATACTGCAATGTCAGTGCAATCCGTCCCTTCCTAATTCAATCTTATCTACTTTTTTCTTTTTTTCTTTCTCAAACATTATTAAAATTACATTATGCAAGGGGTTCTTAACACATTTCACTTTGTAGGTTTTGTTACCGATAACGAGCAGCATTAAATCCATTATATTAAACTCAGATCCAACCTTTTTATTTTATTCTTCAACCAAGGTTTTTAGATGCGCTTTTATAGATTCTGCAATGAATGCCGCACACATATTAAATGCAATTAAAAATCTAATAATATAAAATTTTTGAAATGCTATAAATTCAAAATATCCAAATCCAAAACTAAAACTCTAAATAATATAAAAACATAAAAAAAAAAATATTAAATCAAAATATCGAGACAATTCTAGTATTTTATTTAAAATATACGTTAACAAATGTATTCAAAATGTACATTCAGTTTTCTATCATTAAAATTTGAAAATAAATGTTAGGATAATACTTTACTAGCAACAGTTAAAAATTTCTGACGAAGTCCATCGAAAACTGTAAAAAGTATAACATACTGGACATTGGACAAATACTCTTCATTTCTAAAATTGTCTGGCAGTAAAAAAACTTCAACTGTTTCCAATTATCTATGCAGTTGATTTACGATGGCTTTCACTATCTTGTGTCTTTCCTGACTTGTCATAAAACTGAAAAGCGGGCGTCCTAGATCTGGGCGTAGATTTGGGACCGTAGGCGACTCTAAATCGTCCTTAGAGCACTTGCATCTGTCATAAACACAATTTACGTCAGCAATACCAGAAAAACAATATCGGATTCAAAAGCCGTCCTCTTTACGTGTCTTGCTTCCTCTCGCTTACGAATTATTCTATCCCTTAAAGTTATCAGAAGTCCCAGATCATGCAAAACAGTTTCACTTCAAGCTACGAGTAAGTCCCTGAAAATGTCCCATCTTTTAAATATTGGCAGATTTTCGTAAATAATTTGTTGATATTTGATTTAACTACCAGTTAAAATTTATTTTGAATCTTTCATTTATGCCTTGTTTCATCACTTACTAGGTCAGTCCAGAAGCTTGCGCAGATTTTATGGTAAGGGGCATGGTTAAATGGAGGAGAAAAATCCTAACCTGTATGTCTTGAAGGTTGTTGCTGCCACTATCTACGTTCCTGCTAAAAAGAAAGTCCTGGACAGTAATAAGCATTACTCTGATTTTTGACACGGTTTTAGTAAAAGTAAACTTTAATAGAATTTAGATTGTTAGGTCCAGTTGATATTGAGTTTGAGAAGGATAGCTGGTGTTGTAATGAATTGATATTGTTATACGTTCTAGCCACTAGCTGTAAGCCACAGACTTAAGTTTTGTGTTGTATTAACTGTTCAATCAGCAGTCGCGCGGAAATAAAGTTTTAAGTTACCTTTTACTCTTTGTGTTACCTGTTGAAAACGAAATAACAGAATGATTTCTTGGGTTCGCATCTACCCGATGCTGGGTGTTGTAAACTCCAGAAAGGCTGGGGTCTTTCCGCAAATATGAAACACTTTATTAAAGCACATAAAACACACAAACACAACATACAAAACGCTCCTTACGTTTTTATCTCCTACTCAACCGAAGACTAACTTTTGTATTCTTACATATTCTAAAGGCTGACGTCACACTACTCCAGCTTCAATTCACTTCAGTTCACAAAATTATCTGTTGATTCTACAGTAAGTTTAAAAAGGGGTGATAATTCGTCATCACAGTAGAGGTAACGTTTCAGGGCGAGTGCTTGTAATTAACTAGTTAATAAACCATTAACTGAATTATTTTTTAATTGTTTCCCTCCGATTATGAAAATGTTTTCATAAGATCAAAAGTATGTTCGATAACCAAATATCATATTTAGTAGCTTAAGAAATTTGTAAGATGCTAACAATGACTAAGCTGCGAAGGAATTTCTTGTTATTTCTTCTGGCGACTTTTCTTACTTGAATAGTGAAATAAAACTCATGAGAAAACTGTTAAATGATCACCTTTTGACTACTAAAAAATGCATATAGTTTAACTTCAGAAACCATTTTAACAAAGCTGTCCCTCGAAGCCCTGAACTATGTGTCTTAAATGCATTAACTAATTTGTCTCCTAGTGAGAACCAACGAAAACAGAAGTGACATCGCTTGAAAAAAAAAAGAAAGTGCCACATTTCACTTTGATGAGATAATTGCTTAATAATTATAAAACCCTACAGTTATCCTCACCGAAATTTTAATAATTCGAAAACAGAGGTTTTAATTACATTGGTAGAGAACTGCTTACAATTATATATTTCGGATTGACCCAAAACTTATTATCTAAAAATACACTTACAATCTATGATCGCTCTTCCTCTCAGCTTTTCTGGAAGGAAATGTAGTTTCGTACAATATTTAAACATTTCTACATAATTGAATATATGACAATTTAAGTTTAATTTTTTCTCACCCTCCAGTTTCACATTATATGAATAAACGATGGGCTTATGTTATATATCGGTAATTTTTTCTTCTAAAGCAACTTCTACATGATTACTTTAGACAACACAATGGGATCTAAAACAAATCCTACTCCAAAATATGTTGAATATCAATTTATTACTATTAAAAAGTTTCTGGAGAATTTCTACTAAATTACTAATGCTTATTTATATTAAACTTATTCTATAATATATTTTCCCTTCTATATAGTAAATTCCTTATCTACTTCCATTTCACCTTCATTACATTACTCATTCAGTTTCACACATATAATACTAGTATGTACAATGCATACAACTGGTAGCTGTTGTTTTGTACTACACTTCGATTTTCTGACTGCTTAAAATCTTATTGAATTCATTTTGTCCACAATCATTATGTTTGTGGTAACACACAAATTGAATTTTACAAAATACATTAAAGTTCATAAACAAAAAGCTATTACTTAAAATTCACAAATCCTAACTCGAGGTAAAAGATAAGCGCACACGCTTAACAGATATACAAATGAGATACAATAAATATGATTGAATCAAATGTAGTGTATCTTGCAACAGCTAAATTTGGGTTTTCATCCGCAGAGAACCCGTTGGCGCCGTTGCATTCTTACTCGCCAAACTCGCGGTTCATCGACGATGAGCCGAGCCGTAAACGGGATATTTTGTAAACGTGATTTTTAGTGCATGTAAATTCAAGTTAGCACAGAAAAGAATATATTATTAAGCATAATATATAAGCATTTATATATTAGTATATAATATGTAAGCATAATATATGAGCACAATATATAAGCATTTATAACGGAAATAAAAATTCATTTAAAAAATATAAATTAGTATTAATATACTGAAATTAACCGGTTAAACGTGATATACGAAAAAAATTTGTCTTAAATTCCAGTTAACACAGAAAACAATATATTCCTTACACCAGCAGTTGTTTGCTAATTTTGATGACCATGGTGATGCATTAAACTATTCTGTCATCTTAGATAATCAATTAATTTTTTTATTTCAATTTAATCATATATTTATGTCACACCTGCCATCCTCTGAAAGGTTATTGTAAGAAAAGCATTAACAATATATTATCTTGTTAAAATTTTACGCCATAAAAATTGCTTTATTCTCATAATTTTAGATGATAATAACCAATAATAAAAATAAAACATTACTTGATTATTTAAAATGCACATGCACATTTTTGCGGTCTACGAAAACAAATTATTGGTAAAATCCTAGTATACGGTGCAGCCTTGGCGCGATTTTGAAAATTATCGCCAACACCAAAAATGATCTAAAGAACGTCTATATATATACTATACACTATATACACTATATACTATGTGTGTATATACATAGTATATAGTGTATAGTATATATACATAGTATATACAGTATATATATAGTTTATACTATGTATAACCATATATATTCTTTGAATAACCTGTTTACTACTCATCGTATATGTCGCGTTTTTACTGCTCATCATAAAGTAGCCAAATCCCGTGTGCACCGGATACTAGGATTAAACCAAATTATTTTAGACTTTGGAAACCTCATGGTTCTTAGAGCTGTTAATAATTAAGAACACAACGTGAACAGCCGTGTTACAAATTAGCATTCACCCCTCCTTTCATCCCGAACCGAAAACCGGCATCTATCTACGAAAATATTTCTATCTATTCGTTGTTAAAAAATTCAGAAAAAATAATAATAAATAAGAGAAGAATAATATAAATCTGCAAATGCGAACAACGACAGTCTTAATTCAACAAAATAAACGCAAGAGGAATGGTTGCAAACTTCGAACAAGCGAATGGGATAAATCCGAAGGGTTACCAAGTTAGCTATTATCGCCAAAGTTGGCGATGTTTACATTTACCGGGTTCTCTGCGGAAGTGCTTCCCTAAATTTAAATACCAAATATTATGAAAAATATCTATTTAGGATTCTCAAAATTTTCAAAATAAAAAATAATCTACTTCGGATTTTTAAAACTTCAGTGAAAATCAAAGTAAAGCGAACGAGAAGGTACCGCCATCTGTCGTCAGAAGTGATAATGAAAATTCAAAAATTAAATCAATAGAATTCTTGACGCATTAGAGAGGATTGAATTGGAACGAAGCTGTCTATAGCTTGCTAATTTCGTCTTTTCGGACATAATATTCGTGTTCCTTGATGCGAAACTTTGATGCTTTTTTAGTTTGGCCGTTATATCTCAAAGCACACTGACAAAATATGCTATAAATTTCCCAAGAATTAAAGTCAGAATCTTAATCTTTAAAAATCGAACCATGGATTGTTGATAGACAAATGCATGATTAGGAGATTGAACTTCTGAGGAATCAGTGCAATTTTTTAATTGATAGACGGATGAAATTTTGTAACTCATAGAGGAATGAAAGGGAATAGTTTCATGAATAAAACAAATGTCACATGAACATAATGGAAGTCGTTAAACGGCTAAAAAATTCTTAGAAATATAATAAGGGACTACGATAATTATGATTTCAAAAGTTGAATCTGAAAAGAGGAAATCTGAAAAGAGGAAATCTGAAAAGAGGAAAAGAGGAAAGATCTGCATGACAATCATGCTAGATCTGAAAAGAGGTCAAATGGAGGGAGGCAATTTTATCAGAATAAGATAATTTGATAAAATTCAGATTTAAAATAGAATGTCGATCTCATTAATAAAGAATAGCGAAAGTGGACGAGGTCACGATACAGGGAAGAAAAAGTTAAGATATTAGATATTGCATTGTAAATATTACTATGTTTTTTATTGGCATGCATGTTTCTGCTAAGTAAATAATATTGCGATAGCTACTGGTAGTTTACCCGAGAATACTTCTCATTTGCTATGTTGTTATTACATTCTTCGGAAATTAAATTATTCGCATATCTGACCTCTTTCAAGTTTTCTGTGATAAAATTAGTAGAGAAAGGGTGGAAAATACGCAAGTAAATAAGCTGTTTGACAATTAACTGTGGCTTTTCCTCCGAAAACGAGTGGGCTATCTTCGATATACCGGACAAATTCGCAAATACTTACACCAAAATATTATATTGGGGTAAAGATTTAATTCTGTACATTCCCTCAGTTTAAAGGGTAAAAGGATTTGTAGACTGAGGCTATTTAAATTCCTTACATGCTGTCATTAAAACAATAGTTAAGACGTTCCATCCATACTGCGTACTGAAAGGCATGTTATTCGTAAACGTTGGTGATTTGTCTTAAGAAATTATGTTCAAAATTATTGTTTTGAAAAGTATCATTACTTCGAGAACACAGAAAAAAGTTTCACTGACTGAATAATTTATTTAGAAATTAAAATTGATTTTCAAATGAATTTCATGAGTTGCAAACCGCACAATTAGATAACATTCCTAGTTAGTAATAAATAAAATAATAAATAAATAGAGAGTGTTGTTAATATTATTTAACTAATATCCCAGGCATTTTTACATTAAAAAGAGGCTAATAAACTCCGCATATTTTACTCTAAGAAATACATCCGTTGTTTGTTTAATATGCTTTTTTAAATAAAAAGCAAATATTCCACCGTAATTCGGAAAATATTTCGAAGTGCGTAATACATAGCTTTCTGAAATGTTTCCGTTTAGGAACAATAGAAAAGTGAAAATTAAAATATTTCATGACACTAAAGTTGATAGTGAAATATTAACGAACAAATTAAACCTCTCTTTTTATAGTAAAAAAAAAAAAAAAAAACCGCATCTGAAGAACAATGACCACTAAAGCGAATATGTCAGCATACAAATGACTAATGGAAAGCCTCTTAAAAATATTTGAGCAATTCAAAGCAATTCATTAAGATCTTGACCTTGTGAGAATTTTCAAGTACCGTGCCCGTCACTTGAAAGACAAACATTGACTTAAGAGGAAAACAAATTACGATCATTTTAGTTTAATTAAAAAAACACATTATTTTCATTTTTTCATTGGACAAATGTGTATACATGTAGCGAAGATTTATTCGCCAGTATAATGACAAAGAAAAATATATTATTGTATTCCAAACGAAGACAGAAATTTTCGAAGAGTAAGGAAAGTTTTCGTAACGAGGTTTTTACAGTGGTAAGAGATTTTGGATACAGTGACAGATGCAAAAAAGGTGGATCCAAGAACTAAAATTAATTCTACCTCTTTTTTAAAAAAATATAGTTTAGAGAAAATATTTCCTTATGATATCCTTCTATCTTAGAGTGACCATGAAAAACATGTCTGGCTTCTTCATGATAAGACCTGTGTTATGTATTATTCGTTTTTATTTTCAAGCTTGTGTTTTGCTTATTATTTCAGTTTTGATCTGTAATTGAAGTTCTTTTTTTTTTTTTTTTTTTTTTTTTTTTTTGTTGTTGTTGTTTTGACCCATAAGGTTGTTTAACTTTTAACTTTACTTATTTTAAAGCCTTGTTGCTGCACTTTTAGTGTGTTAATTTTTTTCCCTTAACTTAAGGTAACTTAATTTTTATCCCCCTTTCTATTAAACTTAAACGAATACATATTTTCTGATTGGTGATAGGAAAAATCTATTGTAATTGTAATTCGATCTGGATAATAAGTGTGTATACTTTAATTGCTGCTGAAGAAACAATTTATATAGTGCTGACTTTTTTATGTGTGTGTGTGTATTGAGAATACGGCAAAGCACGCTAGGGCTATCTGCCTAAGGGGAGGGATGCCTTCGTGGAGGACTTTCTAAGGGAAACTGGCTCGTATACACGTTACACATGGGGAAAACCACGAAAACGCCCATGCAGCCAGCCCGTTCGTGGGATTTGAACCTCGGACCGAACTACCAGTGTTCAGCGATTTTACCGCTCGGCCACTGGTGGGCTCTGACTTTTTTATGAATTATATTGTTGTGTAATTAGTAGTTTCATTTCTAATTTCCCAAAGTCATTTTGTGTTAACTTGGTTCTGAAAATTTTCACCCCTTGCCGTCGGCTTGGAATTCATTCTTGGAATCCTTATCAGAGGATTTACTGCACCCCAAAAATTCTTTCACCCAAGCGAAAAACCATATGCGCGGGTGACGTGTTGAATGGATACACCATATGGAGTTTCCCGAAAAGAGGACCTTGTTTTGCTGGACAGGCAAGCAAGGAAAGGTTCTACAGCGTATTTTATGGAGGGGGAAATATTCGTTGGGTAGGAAGATCTACATGGTCGACTGGGACCTCGAGCGAGGCTAGTTTATCCCCCCTTGTTTTCTTCCTTGTTTCGTCTTACTTCCTACCTCCATGTTTTCGTCTGCGGGGCTTGTTGGCACATTTGGTGTGGCCTTGGAAAGGTGAATGAAGGAATAGCGAAAAAAGGCTCTTCTGGTAGTCGGGAAACCCCTTCCCGTGAAGATTTCTCTGTTTTTGTTGCTGGATTTGGCTTCCTGGTGATCACATTCTACGCCAAATTTTCAAAAAAACGCGCCAGCTATTAAAGTGGATGCGCAGTGTTTTCAGGGAGGAGACGAGGAAACCATTTTTAAATGACACGCTTTGTTTTCTACTAAGAGATATCTTTGACTGCTTCTGCTGGACTCCCTGCGTAATTTTACTTTTGTATATAGTCTTTCTAATTGTGAGAAAAATGCACTTTGATGAGTTTATGCACTGAATATTTGTAAAAATGCACACTGTACCTGAAACTTGGACCAGCATCTCTCCAGCCTACCAGACGCCGCTATAGCCTCACGTGACAAAGTAGTCACACCTTCTTTCATTTTTGCATCCTGTCCTCCGGACACACTAATGCATTTGCTATACCTGCAATGTACTTTTTAATTCATGACAGCCGGTATACAGTTTGCTATCAGCAAGCTACACACGGCAATAGTGGGAAAAGGAAGGAATTGAAGGAACCAAGGAGACTTGTTCGTATGACTTCAAAGATGCAGAACGGAAACCAGCAGTCCGCGGTGTTCTTGAGAAGATGAAAAATTAAACAACCTACCCAGGAGGAAGGCTTAGTGGCACCAGACTTGCAGAATGGCCAGCGTTTTGGGGATGACCAGAGTCATGCCGGTTGGAAGCGGCTGTGGGGCGGAGAGCCTGGCCTCCAAAAGGGCTGCACATTATTAATTGTAAATTGTTTTTTTTTTCCTTTTACAGAAATCTCTACCGACGAAATTGTTATTTCCTTTCCAGAATGCATTAACAGAAGATAATTGTTATTAACCGCATCGTGTTTGGGTCATCTGAGTGACGCCTGCAACAAGAACCCTAAATTTTGTTTGATGTCCAACAAACGGGAAAAGTGAAAATGATAAATTTGTAAGCAGGTATGTCATTTCAATTGTTTCTTCAGATTTAAGGCTGACCTGCCGCCACCCTTGTTAAATATGTAAATTATTCATACTATTTGCCCATTAATAAACGTTAGATTGATTTTACCTACTTAGCCTTGTAATCATTGTAGTTAATTCCTTACACTGGACCTTAGTCATAGAATGGGTTTAGCTTACACAACGCAAAATTCCTGAAATTTAGAATTGTTTGCATATTTGTTTTTATGTTACACTATGATAACTACTCATCTCCTATGTTATGTGATTGATACAATATTGGTTGAAATGTTCTGTTATGTTACTCATATACATACAGTTACCTACCACATAATCTGGTATGAACATTGATAATGGAAATTACACAGTAAGGCTGTTCAGTAGTAAATATCACGTATGAATTTATATTTTGCATTAATGATATAACACCTTCATCTACACATTAAGTTCAACGGCCCGTTTTTCAGACGTTTATAACAGGAATAAATAAAGCAAAGGAAATATTAGTCCATTTAGATACAACCGTGTTAAATTTCTGAATACGAGTACTTCTTAATTTGTGAGCTTTTTGCCCGCATAAGGAAATTTTAGAAAGATGAAA